TACTATTTAGCACTGGCTCATTATTTGGAACCCCCTTATCCCGAAGCCTTATTGATTAAAACCATTGCACGTCATTACCCGCCCAACATATCTGCTGTGTTAGTAGGTACGGTGTCGATTACCATTATGAATTTGCAACCGGAATTGTGTAGTATTGAGGAACAAATAGCGGAATCATGCCGGCTGGCCTCTCTTACCGAAAACCAGCAAGCTCATTTGCATAAAGTGTTAATTAACTATAAATCCATTTTTTCGGAGTATCCTGGACGTACTCAGGAATATTCGCATAAAATTAAATTAAATGATTCCTCCGAGTTTTATAGAAAACCATATCCTGTCCCAATTGTACATCGTGCTGCAGTACAAAAGCAATTAGACCAGATGGAAGAATGGGGAGTTATCACTCGGGTTGCCACCCCATATATCTCACCTATCATGGTCACGGTAAAAAAGGACAAAACAGTCCGTATTTGTTTGGATGCGCGTCATTTAAATTCGGTCATGGAAAGAGAGCACGAAACTCCTCCACCGATAGAGGAGCTGTTACATTCTTTACCTAAAGTTCGTTACATGTCTTCTATCGATTTCACACACGGTTATTGGCAAATTCCATTAACTTTGGAGTCACAAAAGTATACTGGATTTAAGTTTAACGGACATACTTATTGTTTTTGTGTCTTGCCATTCGGGCTATCATCAAGCGTTAGTTCATTTACACGGTGCTTGTCAAACATTTTTGGTACGGAGTTTAATGATTTTGTACGAATTTACATTGATGATATTCTTATACTGTCGGAGACCTTTGAGCAGCATTTGCAGCACATTGAATGCGTGCTATCCCGCTTACAAAAATCGGGTTTTACTTTAAGAATAAGGAAATGTGCGTTTTTTCGCGAAAATATGCCTTTTCTGGGTTATATATTAGACGCGTCGGGTATTCGTCCAGACCCCGCTCGAACTCAAGCAATTCGGGATTACGAGGCGCCACAAAATGTAAAGCAACTACAAAAATTTTTGGGATTGGCAAATTTTGATAGGGCATTTTGTGCTAACTACGCAGATATAGTTGCGCCATTGAATTACTTATTACGGAAAAAGTGTACGTGGAAATGGGGCGAAATCGAAAAGAACGCGTTCGAGGAGATCAAGGGAAGGTTAGTTAAGAGCACCCTGCTTTATCATCCACGTGAAGATCTACCATATTACCTCACCACTGACGCTAGTGACGTAGGGTTAGGAGCGCAACTGTTTCAAGTCGTGGATGGGGAAAGAAAAGCGGTAGCATGGGCAAGCCGTATGTTGTTGGATAGGGAAAGGCGGTATAGTTCCAACGAAAAAGAAGCGTTAGCTATTGTTTGGGCCTTAAATAAATTTAGGATTTACCTATTAGGGCGTCCGTTTGTAATTTATACAGATAATAGTTCCGTAACCTATTTGAAGACATGTCGCTTGTTATCAGCACGGATCGCCCGTTACGCGATGGCGTTACAAGAATATGATTTCGAGCTGAAACACATTTCGGGTACTGAAAACATGATCGCGGATGCTTTGTCCCGGTTTGCTGTCAATCGCCCACCGACACCAACAGACAAAGTGTTTGGAATTTTTCCCCTATTCAAACTACCGATAACTGTTAGTACGTAACCAATTGAAGGATATAGCCATAAGACAAAGGCAAGATCCTAAATTATCCAGTATTATTCAGAGTCTGTCGAATAATTCAGAATTTAACAAACGATTTACTTTGTTAAACGAAATTTTGTATATCCGTCCCGAATCTGACAGTTGTAAACTGTGCATACCAAAAGAATTGCGATCGTTGTTTATTGAAGCATATCATTGCACCTTAGGGCATTTCGGGGCGTACAAAACCTGGAAAGCACTTCAAGGGGAAGTCTGGTGGTCGAACATGCTTAAAGATGTCAAGCAATGGCTTCGCAATTGCGAAGTGTGCCAAAAAACCAAGATCAGTTCCATGCCATCACCACCCCCACAGGCTATTATTGCTAAAGAGAAGAACGAACTTTTGGCGTTGGATCTTTTTGGTCCGCTGCCGCCAAGTAGGGGAGGCGTTACGTTTATATGCGTAATAATTGATGTGTTTACTAAATACGTGACGTTTTATGCGTTAAAGAAAGCCACTACGCGGGCTATTTTACATCGTTTAACCAATGACCTATTTGTAAAGCAGGGTTTTCCACAAAAAATACTCACGGATCACGGGACGCAATTTACTGCGAAACGTTGGGCTGAATGTCTAAGTGGGTTCGGGGTTAAAGTAGTACATTCATCAATTCGTCATCCGCAGAGCAACCCTGCCGAGAGGGTGATGCGCGAATTAGGAAGGTTATGCCGTACCTACTGCCACGACCACCATACCCGTTGGGCGTATGAATTATCAAATTTTGCGGGTTTCCTTAACGCCCTTGTCCACGAGTCCACCGGTTTTAGTCCCCAAGAGTTACAAATGAGTAGTGAGGCTATCAAGCTCCTGCCCACCAATTTGCAACCACCACAGAGCGATACGTTTTCTCCCGAGCTTAAACTAATAATGGCCCAAGAAACTTTGGAGGGTGCTGCTGCGCGAAGGAGTGCTCGTATCACCAAGCGTCCTTTTCCTAAATATGAGCCAGGGGAACTTGTGTTACTAAGAAGTAGTCCTACTTCATCTGCCATAAAAGCAGAGACTAAAAAGTTCCTGTTATTGTTTGAAGGCCCGTACCGTATAAAAAAGGCGTTAGGCGTGTTCACTTATGTATTGGTTAACCCCGAAAATGATTGTGAACGGGGAATTTTTCATATTTCCCATTTAAAAAAATATTTTGTTAGGACAGAGTGACAGAGGCAATACCGTACTTTTAACCTGGGGTGCGAGTTGTAGCAGAACCTTAATTTAAATTAATGCAAAAGGTAAAGTTTAAAATACGCGGGTATTGCCCGGATGTACGAACTGGTTTGCCGTAGTTGAAGCAGGCGCTGGAATGGGAATTGGATAGTTGATCTTTTAACGTAGTCACATTAAGCAACGTTTTACGCTAAAACCTTGAGGTTGTGGTGAAAATAATTTTTAATTATTACCAGCCAGCGCCTGGTTTAGGTATGTTCGCTCACAAGTCAGTAGTTACCCTAATGTAAATCTTTTAGTTTGTAAAGTTGTAAAAAATAAAGCCAACTCGTCCTGCCATCTTCTTTAGAACCCAACCCACCTACCAAGCTACCGGTGCAACATAATAAAGAAAAGTTGATACACTGTTTGACATTACCTGCCTCGGAAATTAAAGTACTCGGCCCCAAAAATGCACCAAAGAACAACCCGAATTCAGGAATTGTTTTTCTAATGATAACTTGCAATACATCACTCAGAATTTCTAGATAATAAGAATAATAATACTTCTTTATTAGTTACTATATACAAATGAAGTACTTTCAACGCATAAGAAGAAATAGATATTAAAAATTATGTTCAAGAGTCGATTATTACTGACAATTTTGTTACATTAGTGCAGAGCCGTCCTTAGTAAATGCGAGGCCTGGAGCGAAATATTTTTGCGGGGCCTTTTTTAACAATGATTTCCGAGGGGGGGGGGGGGGTTATGGAATACCTCCGAGGGGAGTGAGTCCGACTCCGGAAATTTTTGCAAAATTATACATGCAAAATCGTCATTTTAAGCACTTTGAATGACTGTCACGCGGCGAAGGGAGAGGAGATCATGCAAGAATGATTCACTCACCGGCGAGCGCGAGGGTTTGTTGGCGACTAATGACTATCACGTGCGAATGAGAATTTCGTTCGTAGGTTTTTTAATTAATCAATAGTTGAACATATTTCGCTGCTAATCAGACAGATATTTTATATTATACAGGGTGCCCATTATGTATGGAATGTAGTATATATCTTGGGAAATATCGAATATATATGAAATTATTCCCATAAATGCCAGCATTCAATTGTTTTTATTTCAGAAAACAAATGAGTAAGTAACGAAAAACAATTGAATTTTTTAAATGGCAATGCACCTTTTCATTAGGATCATTTGATAGATTTTTTTCCCTTTTCGATGATATAACATGTTAGTACCCTTATTCAAGAAAATTTTTTTAAAAAATGAATCATAATTAGATGAATAACATTAATCCAGATATCCTACATAAAAATAAAACAAATGAACGTGTACGTTTCTTATTAAACCTTGAAGACAAAACGAAATTAGCAGTAAAATGGTTTTCATCGCAATGAATGTTCAAAATGTTCACCATTCACTGCAAGGCAGTGGCATAACCTATCCCAAACAAGTTGTAAATCAGCATATGCATGATTAAAGCGCATTTTTGGTAATGCAGATCAGTATTTTATTAGCGAAGTTTAAAATTATCGCTCACGAGTAATTTTGGCTGCGTTAAATAATTCATTTTATTTAATTTCAATTAAGGGTACGTCTTAATTTTGTAAAACAAATCGCAAAGTAAATAATTAAGTTTTTATACTGGTAGCGGTATCTAACGGTAAAATTATAGCACCTCCAAAAACCATATCGAAATTATTTTCTTAAATTATCGATCTCACAAGTAATCTAACTCAAAATAGACTAGAGCCTGCACATCTACACTATAGCAGAAAGCTTTTAGTAATAATTTGAGTCTCTAGCTATTGTAGTTGCTAAGAACTCAGCCGGACAGCCAGCCAGCCAGAACGTATTTTTTCAAAAATGCGCTAAAAACTTGAAATAAAAATTAATTTCTTCTACACGGGTGCTAACGTGTTATGTCATTGAAAAGAGAAAAAAAATCTATCAAATGAGTCTAATGAAAATGTGCGTTGCTATTTAAAAAAATTCAATTATTTTCATTATTCATTTGTTTTCTGGAATAAAAGCAATGGAATGCTGCCTTATTATGGGAAATAAAATGTAACAACTTTCATATAAAAAATTGTTGTATACATTCGATCTTTACCGAAATATATACTATATTCCATACATAATGGGCACCCGGTATATTTATATATTAAAATATTATTATATTATTTTTATTTTCATTAAATAAAACCTTATATTTTTTTTCAGCGCGAGGCCTGGAGCGGCCGCTCCACTCGCTCCACCCTAAGGACGGCTCTGCCGGCATGTAGAAAGTGACATGACATGACCACACAACAGCATCAAATGCAGAATGTAATGCTATCTATTCTGTTACTGGCTAAAAAAATGTCATTTCTGATGTTCACTCTGATTTTATTTTCTGTGTCCTCTTTAATTAATCGGAAAAGAAGAATAATTCGATTGTTTGATTTTTATTCGATATGCCATTTTAAGGAATAAAATGAAATGGAACTATGTGATGACATAAACATAAAATAAAATCAGATTTAAATAAATAAAGAATAAATCTGATCTTATTCATTTTTTTAAAGTTGTTATCTTTATCACACAGGGGTTACCCGACAACTAAATAATTGTGCAAATAATTTTTTAATTAGCACTTTTGCCGCCGTCTACTAACTGGCCACCTCTCTCCCATCTCATTGGCCTTCAATTCAGATTCTCATTTAATGATAAGACACAAACTATAAAGATACTACCTTAAAATTTGCAATCTCCTCCTCCTCCGCCGAGACGGGATTAACAAATTTACTAATAAAGCTACTGATGTGTCCTTCGTTGTTGTTATTGGCGTTCGTGTCGTTCACGTCCGTCTTCTCCGCCTGCCCCAAATGGACGACGACCTCAAACGCGGCCTGAGCCCGATCGATCGCATTGCCGAAATCGTCCTCCTTGTTTAACAGCATTCGACTCATGACCCGTAAACTGAAAGACTTGGTGGTATTTTTACACTGCACCGACGCAATGTTAAATCCGTTCGCGAAGCCCTTGACGACCTGCGAAAATCGTTCGATTAAGCTGTATCGACGTAGGGCTTCGAGCAGCATGGCGGGGGACGTCTTGCGGAACTCGTGGTACACGAGAATGACGCCGTCCTTGGCGTCGCCCCGGTTCGCCTCCAGCCACGTGAGAAAGTCGGTGAGCGCCGAGATTTCGCTTTTCGTCTTGACGAATTTGTTTGTCTTGAGGTTCTTCAACATTCGATAGCGTCCGATGTTTATGATACGTAGGTTGTGACGTCGACGCGATCCCACGTTTAGATCGGAGAATGGCATAATGTGCTGAGAGAATTGGGAGGTCGTGGAGTAGGCGGCTATCTGGCATATTTCGTCTATGAGACGACGTCCCGTCGTATCGATACTCCATCCGATTAGTTTGTAGTTACCGTCGGGCACGCCTTTGGGGGCACGAGGTAAAACCTTCTCGTTGTCTTCTGCTACAATGTCTTCTGTTTGTACCATTTCGGTTGTATCTGCATTGAGGAAAAAGGAAAACAGGTTATCTTTTGCAACATTTGCGAGATAACTGGCATTGAATTAAAGGAATGGGATTTTGATAAAATTTAAAAAAAGTGTAAGTGATAAACACGTGGCCAAGACCCGCCCAAGGTAACCGAAATTTAAGTTAAAAATTAGTAAACAAATGTCATAATTTTGACAAAAAAATTCTCACCACAATTAATTATGTATCCTAAAGCACTAAAATTAATCACTAAATGAGGAATCGACTAGAATTCTAAACGTTTCTGCCCACCTTCTCTTCCGTATGTCAGGAAAACTGCTAATAATTTCGTGAAAATGCATTTTGCACGTGTGCTTTGTACGAGGCCAAATAGAGGGGAAAGGCAAGGCTATACGGAAAACTAAACAACACTCCCGCCTTCATTTAAATATTGTAAAAGGTAGAAAAGTTGCTTACCTAAAGGGAAAACACCGCTTTATTTTTAGTAGCTTTCAAAATTAACTACTGTACTTTGTTGATAATCTGATAATACCTACACTTGACTACGAGATAAACAATTATCATATGTTTTTTAAGGGCAATAAAATTTTGCAGTGAATCATGGCACATTTGATCATATTATTCCATATGATAAGCATGGCACTCTGCGATAATTTTCAGTAAAAATCCCCTATCGGCTTCCACTTCGCACCCACCTTCAGGGGTTGGCCCCAAATTTATACTGTTGGCGTCGAAGAAACGTCCAAGGTGTAGTACTGCAAATAAGGGCGTCTTCGCAACCATTACTTATAGAAGGGTCGTTTGGTGTCTTCTGATAGAATTAAACTTATATACTTATACTTATATGTTACCAGCAATCTGTATAATTCAAGTGCTATACCATAGTGTAAGAAAACTTATTGAACCGCTATTGGCGAGAAACTGGTCCTTCAGGGTTAAAATCGTCAAAATCTGAAAAGAAAACGAAAATTCCTGGGTTTTTAGTATACTTGACTATGTTGCGTTCGCCGCTCGAGGTCGAAAACTTGAATTATACATTGGGTTAACAACATAAGCAATCCCACAAAAAATCAGAACTACCGGATTTGACGCTTGGTACCCCCCATTTTCAGGAACAAAGTTACTGGACTATGTGGCCTGTAGAATCCATAATTTCAAACAGATCCAAGATTGGGCTACTACTTCAAAAGTTACAGCCCTTTGAATTTTCTTTCGAAATTGGTTTCTATAGTCTATAACTTTTAATTGAGAAGTCTAATCGAAAAAGTACGAATTGTTTTGGATTCAATTCAACGCACCAAAATTAATAAGAAAGTGTTTTCCCGAGAAATTTTGGTGCAGTCGATTTTTGGTAAAAAAGGAAGGTTGTACACTGCCTTTTTTTGAGGCCCGAAGAAAAAATTGTCTCAGATCGACCCGGAAACAATTTTTTTTTATAGAATGTGGCCTGTAGAATCCATAATTGTGTAGTCGATTATTGAAGTACAATTGCTCTTCCTACATGAAATGGCACATGTTCAACTGCTGCAATTGAGTCGGACGTGGCTATATTAAGGGCATAAATTAAAATGTTCTTGTGAAGGTAGTGTCGTACGTGGCGACATCTCATTGGAACTGGTTCAACTATTACAAGAATTAAACTTGGGAAAGTATAGGGATTGCCAAAGAGATGGCGCAAATGTACCGAATGCGTACACAAAAGACAATTCCAGACACTGGATCATTGAAGTACATTTGCTCTACAAATCCTACATGAAATTGCACATTTTCAACTGCCCTTTAAGGAAAATCGAGTCGGACGTGGCTATTAAGGGCATAAATTAAAATGTTCTTGTGAAGGTAGTGTCGTACGTGGCGACATCTCATTGGAACTGGTTCAACTATTACAACAATTAAACTTGGAAAAGTATAGGGATTGCCAAAGAGATGGCGCAAATGTACCAAATGCGTACACAAAAGACAATTCCAGATACTGGATCATTGAAGTACATTTGCTCTACAATTCCCACATGAAATTGCACATTATCAAATGCCCTTTAAGGAAATGGCCTGTAGATTCCATAATTTCAAACAGTTCCAAGATTGGGCTACTAGTTCAAAAGTTACAGCCCTTTATATTTTCTTTCGAAATTGGTCTATAACTTTTGATTGAGAAGTCTAATCGAAAAAGTACGAATTGCTTTGGATTCAACGCACAAAAATTGAAAAGAAAAACTGCCATTTTTTTAGCCCCGAAGAAAAAATTGTCTCAGATCGACCGGGAAAAAACATTTTCTTATAGAATGTGGCCTGCAGAATCCATAATTTCAAACAGTTCCAAGATTGGGCTACTAGTTCAAAAGTTACAGCCCTTTGAATTTTTTTTCGAAATTGGTTTCTAGTCTATAGCTTTTGATTGAGAAGCCTAATCGAAAAAGTACGAATTGTTTTGGATTCTACGCACCAAAATTAATAAGAAAAAGTGTTTTCCCGAGAAATTTTGGTGCAGTCGATTTTTGGTAAAAAAGGAAGGTGCCTTTTTTTGAAAATAAAAATACGGAAGCATAAAATTAGGCGTCCTTCAGAAGTGATTTAAAAGTAAACAGTACACAAACAATACACCTAAATCCCTATGTCTTCTTAATAAATAGCACTGTATATAAGGTATAAACGCGGAGTACACTCATAGACTAAATAGTGTAATTAGTCCATGCTCATATTAACAGTTTGACATTATTCATCAAGAAATTCTGATAATTTTAGTGGGAAGAATGCGGTCACATATGCATCTTAGCGCATGGGCGGCGATGTACTTATACCTACAGCCGTAAGCGTAGGCAATGAAGCACTTCCCATCTCATCAGTATGTAATCTACTAGTACATTTAATTCTATTACAAACAAAGCTACACAATATATTTAAAGTTTAGGTGCAGCCTTAAGGAGAGGTCCCAATTTTTGAGCAAGCATAATATTTCCAGTCACTTTCAATTTTCCCTTCAAAAAGGCTTGTTGCGGATTTAATTTACCAACGGATAATTCCACGAAATCGTCATCTGATACAACCAGTGTAGTATTTGGTTTCACATCTTGCCCGGCTCCTTCATATATGGATGCCGATTTTAAATCCATTGCTATAAAACGTAATCAATATGTATATGCTCTTATTTCTACGTATGTTTCGAAGTTGTTTCAAAAACAGTGTAATGTAAATTAAACTTACTCCATTCTTTAACAATTTCTCCATCCTTAGTGATTTTCACTAAAAAAATTCCATTTACGCTCTTTGCTTGATCTGGCTGTACTTTTATTTGATCATTAATATATTCAAAGACCGCATCACTCTTCAAAGTACTTGCTGTTACTTTATTTTGTATTATTCCTGTCTTGATAGCATTTAGATCAACGTAAGCACCTGGAAATCACCTTATCAATAAATTTATGAATGTAAAGTCAAGTTCACAATCAATGACCCTAAACCCGCAATAGAAAATAAAGTTTTCCACCTGCAATAGCAGCAGTGCCATTTTCAACAACCACAGTTTCAAAATGAATTCGATTTCCATTTCTCCACATGTCAATGCGCAATGTTTGACCTGGAATAACCACCTTTGTGAATCGAGCCTAAAAGAGAGACAATAAAGGACGTGGAGAAATTAATTTCGTTTTCTTACTTTAACCGCCCTAAAAAGCTTCTGGTCGTAAGACGCGAATGCACCCATTACCAATCGAACCGAAATACCCAAGGTACACAAACCGTGCAATATTGGTGTCTCGTACCCGGCAATTGCAGAAAAGTTGGGATCGATATGCAATGGATTAGTATCGCCTGCAAATGAGCCAGATTAAAACTTAAGGTCTAATGCGTCTTACCGGATAATCTGTAAAGTGCTGCTTGGTCGATTGTTGTTTTGTAGGAGAGGGATAGGTCGGGTTTACGGTCTGGTTTCGGTACACAAGGTACGATTTTTTTTCCAGTTCTGGGCCCTCCAAAGTTACCAGCGCCAATAGCAAACGAAACACACTGATTTCGCATAATCAACGCCCCTTGCTCATTGTAACTGTTAACTAAACGTTAAGTTTGAATACTCAGATTTCAATTGCTGAACTAATCTTACTATCGGTAACAATTGCGGCACCAGACCCCTTATCCAGTGTCTCCACTATCTTGGGATTGTTTAGTAATGTACCAGCCTCGGGAGGGCTGTTGTAGATCTCCAGGTATTGTTCACCATGAAGCATATTTTCAAGAGAAATTGTTTTTCCGGGAATTGTATTCAAACGTCGGAAAGAGGTTACAGCATGCATACTAGGTAAAATGTAAAAAGACGGAATTACGCTGAAGTTCTGGTGATTTTCGTACAATAACTTTAGCTCCTCTGGATTCTGAACGGATGCGCCCACTAATTAACACAAACACATTACTTTGTCAAACAATTTATTGAAAGACCTACCTCCGAGCGCGTACAAAATAAGATCTTTAGAGGAAAATGTGAACAAAGCGCCTTCGCTGGAGGAAGTGGGTGTTTGTTCGCCTTTCCTTAGATACTCCAGTTTTTCTACCAAAGCTACGCGAGATGCCGATAATGAAACTAGGGGCACTGCATTTTTCATGTTCGTAATCTCTGGCCAATTCGCTTGCACACTTTCAATTGTGGCAGGGTCGGTGATACGTTGACGAATTAGGCACCCTTTAGAACGATATATTTGTGACTTCCCGGCCCATCCGGCGGCCGATTCTATTATTGTACCATTCTCTTGACAACTTTCGTGGCACAAATACGCCTGAAAAAATATTGCCACAAATAAGTAGGTATACAAAACTTTTTATTGACAATAAAAAATCAAGCAATACGCTATTACATTCATCAAACGTTCTGGATGGCTTGTGAACAAATGAAACAAAAATATTTAACGCCCCACAAAAGTCTGGCAAAAGATTTAGTTTTATTTTTGATATTTAAGAAAAACGTGTACCACTAAAATCACCCTTATTTTTCATCCCTGGCGTTTTTTTTATTTGACAAAAAAGCATCTGGTTCAGGAATATTACTAAAGAAAACGTCTATTGCTAACAAATGAGCTCTTTCTGAACATATCCTATAATTTTCCACAATCTCAAAGTATGAAGAACCCCTTGTAACAGAGGGTGATCGCTTTAGGCTTTAAATTTTTTGTTCAACTTACAAATTTGCCGGAAATTTTATATGTGTACCGCTTCATAATGAAATCTAGAATCTAGAAACCGTTACGACAGAGCATATGGCATAGGTATAAAAAACCGAGTGTCCGTATATGAACCTTCAATCAGCGAATAGACTAGAAAAGATTTGGTGGGAGAGTAGGATTCTTAGCTGGACCTTTAGAGATTAAGTGTATAACAATTAATCTTT